TAGCCCTGAGCTAACATCCGTTGCCAATTGTCATCTTTTTGCTGAGGAAGATTGGCCCTGGGCTAACATTGGTGCCAATCTTCCTCTGCTTCCTCAAGCCTCCACAGCATGGCTTGACAAGCGGTGCATCGGTCTGCGCCCAGGATCCGAACCTGCGCCCAGGATCCGAACCTGCGAACCCTGGGCCACCGAAGTGGAACGTGCAAACTTAACTGCTACGCCACCAGCCCAGCCCCTTGTTGAAGATTTTTTTTTTTTTTTTTTTTTTTGTGAGGAGATCAGCCCTGTGCTAACGTCTGCCAATCTTCCTCTTTTTTTGCTGAGGAAGACTGGCCCTGGGCTAACATCCATGTCCATCTTCCTCCACTTTATATGGGACGCCACCACAGCATGGCTTGCCAAGCAGTGCGACAGTGCGCGCCCGGGATCCGAACCAGCGAACCCCGGGCCACGGCTGCGGAGCGCGCGTGCGCACTTAACAGCTTGTGCCACCGGGCCGGTCCCCCCCTTGTTGAAGATTTTTAAAACTGTTTTTCAGAATTAATTAAAATGAACTGAGGGTCTACTAGGTGCCAGGCACTAGGATAGGCATTTGAAATAACATTTTCACCAAAAATATTCTCACAGTACGGGGGTGCTTTTTTTTATGGCCAATAATTCCACTGTCCAAATAACGTCGGCTGACAATGTTTTTAAGTGCACATTGATCGAAAATTCAAATGATATTGAAAGTTATAAAGGAAAAAGTAAAAGCCTCCTTCTGGCCTAACCAAATTCTTCTTCTTCTGAGTATCGACTATTATTAGTTTGACTTTGAGTTGATCTGACCTTAAGTTGATAATTGTTGAAGTTGAATAACGGGTATATTGGCATCTGTTTTAATTTCTCAGTTATCAAGAATTAAAAATACTTTTTTTAAAAAAAAAAGCTGATATTTGCCATCCCTGCATGAATATCTTGGAGTGTTTTGTTTAGAGATTCCCCCCCACCCCGCAAAGCCCCAGCAGATAGTTGTAAGTCATAGTTGCCCATCCTTCTAGTTGCTGTATGTGGGACGCGGCCTCAGCATGGCCGGAGAAGCAGTGCGTCGGTGCGCGCCCGGGATCTGGCCCGGGCGCCAGTAGGGGAGCGCGCGCACTTAACCGCTAAGCCATGGGGCCGGGCCCCTGTTTAGAAATTTTTGTTTTGTATTTGTATATGAAAAGGAAATTTTTTGTGTGTGTGTGAGGAAGATCAGCCCTGAGCTAACATCCATGCTAACCCTCCTCTTTTTGCTGAGGAAGACCAGTTCTGAGCTAACATCTATTGCCAATCCTCCTCCTTTCTTTTTCCCCCCCAAAGCCCCAGTAGATAGTTGTATGTCATAGTTGCACATCCTTTTAGTTGCTGTATGTGGGATGCGGCCTCAGCATGTCTGGACAAGCGGTGCGTCGGTGCACGCCCGGGATCCAAACCCGGGCCGCCAGTAGCAGAGCGCGGGCACTTAACCGCTAAACCACGGGGCCAGCCCTGAAAAGGGAATTTTGATAGTCATTGTTAAATTACCCACTAAAAAGTTTGCACAAAATTCTTCTCCCACTAATAGTGTATAAGAGTACCCTATTTCTCCAACCCTAACCAGCACTGGGTATGAGCAAACCTTTACATTTGGCCAATTATGAATCTCACAGTCCTCCTCAGAATCTCACAGTCCCCTCAGAGCTCAAAGGTGGCTGACATCAGCCTGATAGCCTGATACAGCCATTTCCACCTTCAGGGAAGCCCTGTTGCAGTGAATGAACACTCATTTGAGGTGGGAGGGTGCCATTTGCACTTGGATGGACACAGACCATGTAGCCTCTGAGACTTTCACTGTTCTATTCTCAGTGCCATTCAGCTCCTTTCTGTTTCCATAGTCATGTTAGCCTAGAAGCTATTCGAGTTCCTCAAAGTCTGTTTCCATATGTCTGCCTGATCCTGCAAGGTCTGGTTCTGCCTACCTGTGTAACCTCATGTTGCCGCACTCTCCTTCTTGTCCTCTAAACACAACCCATGCTAGACTTCTTGCAGTCCCTCCTATCTTCCTGAGGTTGCTGTCTTTCACTCTCCTGCAGGCCTTTGCCCATGCCACCCACTGCCTGGAACACTCTTCCATCCCAGCCTCTTCAGGTCTCATCCTAAAAGGCCCTTCCTCGGGGAGGCCTTCCTTACCCCATCAGTATTAGGTTAGGCCTCCCACCATTACGCTCTATCTGTACTTCTCCCATCTTAATACTTGTCAGACTTTATTATAGTCGCTGGTTTAATGTCTGTCTTCCCTTCTAGCCTAAAAGTCCAGGAAGACAGAAGCCACTCTGTTCTGTTTAACCTTGTATCCTCAATGCCCAGTAGATTGCATGGTATGTAGCAAATACTCAATATATTATTGAATAAAAGAATTAATTAATGATATCATACCTAACAATCCTTAGGAGTGAGAGAAGAAGAATGGTCCTAGAGAGCCTTTCTTATAAAATGTAAGAATGTTAATAGATACTTTAAAAATATTTATAAAATTAGTAGATACAGATTTTCAATCACCCATATTAAATGAATGATTAAACTTAGTCTCTCTAGTCACAGAGACTCTCTCAGTTAAGGGTCAGTTTCTGAAACCTAAACAGAGCTGCCCCTCAGGCTTACTCCCTGTGCCAGAACTACTGCTTAGCCATATTATAAGCTCTGTTAGCCTCCCTCTTAAAGGAGCCAGGCTCCCCAAACGACATTGTGAAACCAAATATGGTATCAGAACTGCTGATAAAGTTTTACATTTTAAGCTTTTATTTTTTTCTTTTGAAGTTTGAACTGAGGCAGTGAGCCAGGCCACTGGAGGTTTGAGAGCAGGCGGTTGATGAGGTCAGATCTGTGTGTTAGAAGATTACTCTGGCAGCAGGACATAGAATGGATTAGAGAGATTTTGAGCCTAGGAAAACAGAAATGAAACCCTAACACTTACTCCCACTTGAATAGAATAAGTATTTGTGCAAATCTCTCATCCCCCATCTGACTTCCTTCCCAACTGAGGGCAGAAAATTTATCATGTTCATCTGTGGAACCGCCATGACACAAAGTTGGAGTGCATTAGAAAGTGGAGGAAGGACTGGAAACAACCCAACTATCCCTCAACAGGTGAATGGATTAACAATTGTGGTTGCACTCCATACAATGGAATACTGCTCAGCAATAAAAAGGAAGGAACTACTGATAAATGCAACATTATGAATGAATCTCAAAATAATTATGCTGAGTGAAAGAAGCCAGACACAAATGATACCACTGTATGCTTCCACTTACATAAAATTCCAGAAAATGTGAACTATCTATAATGACATAAAGCAAACCAGTGGTCGCCTGAGGGCGGGTTTTGGCGAAAGGAGGACATTGGTGAAGGCTGCAGGAGGAAAGAATTATGAAAGGGCACTAGGAAACTCTGGGGGTGGGGGAGGTTGATGGATATGTTCATTATTTTGCTTATAGTGATATTTCCATAGGTATATATGTATGTCAACTTAGCAAATTGTACTTTAAACACGTGCAGTTTATTGTATGCCAATTATACCTCAGTAAAGTTGGTTTTTAAAGAAGTAGAGGTGGGTATTGTAGAGAAATGAGTTAAGAAGTGTCATTTGAGCTGGAAGATATGGCCTTGGCTTGAAAGAAAGCTCTGGCCAAGCCAGAAGGAAAGGGCAGGCCAGGCCAGACCTGGGAAAGAGCAAACAGGTTTAGGGCAAGATGAGTAGACCATTTTAACCAGAGCAGAAAACCTGAGAGGAGAGCAGTAGGAGATACAGCTGTAAAAGAAGGAAGAGGCAGATTATGAAGGGCCTTGAATATCAAGCTTTTTAAAAGTGTGCATTGGATTGCAGTTCCACCACTTACTTCCTAAATGATCCAGAACAAGTTATTTAACTTCTCCGAGACTCAGTTTCCTTTATCTGTAAAATAAGAACGATAATAACGAAATCTATCTTAAATGGTGACCGTGAGGATTAAATGAGGTAATGCGTGTAAACCACTTAGCAGAGCACCAGGTAAATAGATAAGTGCTCAGTATGTACAAGCAATTATTATTATAACAAGTATTGTCATTAACCCCAATATAAGTAAACGTATACAGATGTTTGAGCAGGAGAAAGAAAGGATCAGAGAGGTTCTTTAGGAGGATTAATCTCACCATCACTAATTACCTCCCCTCCAGAGTTAAAATACCAAACTCGATCACTTCTACCCACTCCTCATTCTGTAACTTCCTTCCTAGTAAACACCATACCCAGGCGGAGCCCACAACCAGCAACTAAGGTTCTCTCATGTTAGTGAAGGGATTCCAGCTGGTGAGCCCCCTACCACGTGGGGACAAACTGAGATGTGTCATGGCCTCTAGGATGGAGAACCAGAGCCTCCAATCCCATCCTCAAGAATTTTAGCCACCACCACCACCATAGATTTATATCCAGGGTACATCCTGAAGAGAATAAAGCAGGTGGTATTTCTTTTAATTTTAAAGCATATATATTTCCCCCCAAAACCCAGGGAGGGGTCCAGGTTTTCAGAGTGGTCTTTCTTTCTCAAGTCCCTTAAGCACTGAACTAAGAGTTTATTCTCCGGAGAGTTTCTGAGAAGAAGCCTCTCTGTGCCTCAGTTTCCTCATCTGTAAAATGAGAGATAATAATGGTAACTACTTCATCAGGTTCTTATGAGGATTAAATGAGTCAATGTGTGTAAAGGGCCTAGAACATTGGCACATAGTGAGTGCTCTGTAGGTGTCAGCTAAACTTTCTTAAGGACTTGACTTTTTCTATCTTGTTTATAATACTTCATATTTGTGGTCATGTATTTTTCAATTACTAAGCAATTACAGTGTCCTCATAACAGGATATTTCAGCCCCAGTGCTCCTCTGGTGTAGAAGTAAGTCTTGCTGATGGCTTATAAATACGCATCCTCCAAGTCAGAGGCACCCAGCTTTTTCATAGACCCAGTAGTCGTTGTATCTGTTAATTTCATTTAATTAGAAAATATACTGCAGATAAAAGAATCCAGCCAAGCTTTTAAATTAATTGGTAACTTTATTAATAACAATAGAATCTACACACATTTGAAAACATACATGTAGGAAACATAAGATTTAATCAGTCTATGGTAATGTCTGGAGTCCATTTGGATTCATGAAACCCCTGCAATCAACTCCGGGACCCCTTAGCCAAAAGCAGAGTTTAATAACTGATCAGACCATCAGTGTATTTATCAGCAAAATCAAGGCTTGGACAGAAAGGTTCAACATTCTGTAATCACACAAAATAAAACTAAAATGCAATTGTCCTCGCATCTGAGGATACAAAGGTGGACAATGTTAGCTGCATGGCCAGCGGACCAATCACTGTGCTTCTCTCAACCTCATTTGTAGAAGGGATATTAACTTTGCGTATCTTACAGGGTCTCCTGAAAAGCAAATGAGATGGCGAGTGTAAATTAAAAGCTCATCTCGGTGGGGAACACAGGATGAGGACGGTGGAATTGGGGGAAGGGTGTCAGAAAAAGAGAAAGGAAAAGGATCTTTTCAGGGACCAACGCTCTGAATTTAATTAAAATCCAAAATAGGTTACATTAAACTGAGAAGCATAAAGGGAGGACTGACCACTGCCGCCTCCTTCTTAGGCGCAATAAGAATTTTAACACAGGCCTCCTCCTGGTTGTTGCCCTGAGGTGACTATCATCAGACTTGGGAAAGGAGCTCCAAAACTACTTCCATTTTCATCAGGTCTTCCCATATATTTAATGGAAATGAACCGCACCCATCCATCCAAGGAAGCGATTAAGCAAGGAGTGGAATAGGATAATTAATTCAAAAAGTATTAATTCAATAAGTATGTACATGTCCACTACGTGTCAGGCACGGATTGGCACTGATGATACAGGGGAACACCAGACCCGCCAAGTCTCTGTCAAGGGCTTGAGGAGAAAGCCCCACAAACAATAAGATAAACGAACCACACAATTTCTGACAGCAGCTAACAGGAAGATAAAACAGTTGAGGCACCAGGACAGGCAGGAACGGGGCGCGAATTCCTGAGTGGATGACTTGGGTAGGTCTCTGGGAGGTGACTTTCAGCCCAGACCTAAATGACCAATGCCTTGCGGTGACCCGAGGCTAGAACGGTCCAAAGAGAGCATTCAAAGAAAAAATGATTCACAAATCGATCAATAGGAATTTCAAAGTCTCAAAGTGAGCGGCGAAAACCAGAACCTACTAAGTCTGGAGCCGCGTGTGGTTTTGAATATTCACGTCGTCCAATCAGGGGAAGGCTAGGAACCAGAACCGCTGGGTCTGCCCGAGGTGCCCGAAACTGCTGGTATCCACAGGGAGCCACACCGCAGGGCAGAACTGGTGACCGGAGACCCAAGAGGCTGCCACTCTCGGGAGAATTCTTCAGAGCTGTGACGCAGTGTTCGCAGGACCCCGAGCTTAGTTGTGTCCTGGGGTCCTTTCTTAAATGAGGATGCCCGAAATCTCACTTCGTTTTAGAAAGCCAATAAAACATACCCAACAAAGCCACCAAGACACTGTAGTCTGGGGCCGGACGGTGGGGAGGAGCGTATTCGTAGCATCCTAATTTAGAACTGACTCATAGGAAAACCAAACACAGTAAGGGGTTAAGACGCGCCCTAGATTCAAAAGCAAAGCCAGTCACGCGCCAGGAACCTCAAGTCAGAAGAGCTTAAAATGCTACGAGTGCCATCTTCCACGACCTTTAGCCAACTAGAATAATTTACTTTGCGAGAAAGAACTAAGAGAAAACGCAAGTGAACAGAGCTCTTTTCTGGTGATTAAGTGGGTGGCTCTGAAAAGAGCCTTTGGAGTCAAACGGGCGGCGGCTCGCGCGAGCACCGCGTCCCGGCAGGGACTCACTTGGAGCTGGTATACTTGGTGACCGCCTTGGTGCCCTCGGACACGGCGTGCTTGGCCAGCTCGCCGGGCAGCAGCAGGCGCACGGCCGTCTGGATCTCCCGGGACGTGATGGTCGAGCGCTTGTTGTAATGCGCCAGGCGGGACGCTTCGCCGGCGATGCGCTCGAAGATGTCGTTGACGAAGGAGTTCATGATGCCCATGGCCTTGGACGAGATGCCGGTGTCCGGGTGCACCTGCTTCAGCACCTTGTACACGTAGATGGAGTAGCTCTCCTTGCGGCTGCGCTTGCGCTTCTTGCCATCTTTTTTCTGGGCTTTGGTGACCGCTTTCTTCGAGCCCTTTTTGGGCGCGGGAGCAGATTTTGCCGGCTCAGGCATTGTAGCACACAACACCGATTAGCAAATAAAAGTACGAGAATGGGCGGGCCTGATCTTTTTATAACTACCGTATGCAAATTAGGGCTCCAAAAGTATCTCGCTCCCATTGGGCCATGTAAGGACCTTGCGTTATCAGTAAAAGCTACGTAACAACACACACTCTTGACCTTATTGGCCGATTCTGGAGCCAATTTAGGACCAATGAAAAACTCGTTCCTGACTCCACCCCTAGGAAAGCTTATAAAGGCTTTCCAATTGCCGATCTTTCAATACTGTTTTGTTGCAGAGTTTCTGGGCTTTAGATATTTGTTATAACTTGATTTTTTAATATGTCCGGTCGTGGCAAGCAAGGAGGCAAGGCCCGCGCTAAGGCTAAGTCGCGCTCGTCCCGCGCTGGCCTTCAGTTCCCGGTGGGACGAGTGCACCGCCTGCTGCGCAAAGGCAACTACGCCGAGCGGGTGGGGGCGGGCGCGCCGGTCTATATGGCGGCGGTCCTCGAGTACCTGACGGCGGAGATCCTGGAGCTGGCGGGGAACGCGGCCCGCGACAACAAGAAGACGCGTATCATTCCTCGTCACCTCCAGCTGGCCATCCGCAACGACGAGGAGCTGAACAAGCTTTTGGGCAAAGTCACCATCGCCCAGGGCGGTGTTTTGCCGAACATCCAGGCCGTGCTATTACCAAAAAAAACGGAAAGCCACAAAGCCAAAAGCAAATAAATCCTGACTAAGTAAACCAAAGATCAAAGGCTCTTTTTAGAGCCACCCAAGTTTTCAAAAAAAGAGCTAATGCGCTATTTCGTGATCAGCCCTTCAGTTGATACTTTAGTGGCTCTTAAAAGAGCCTTTGGGGAGAGTGGGGATGGTGTCAAGCCTCCTAATTACTTGTTCTTGCCAGGCTTGTGGCTCTCCGTTTTCTTGGGCAACAAGACAGCCTGGATATTGGGCAAGACGCCGCCCTGGGCAATGGTGACACCCCCAAGTAACTTGTTGAGCTCTTCGTCATTTCTCACAGCTAGTTGCAAATGGCGAGGGATGATGCGCGTCTTCTTATTGTCTCGGGCCGCGTTCCCCGCCAGCTCCAGAATCTCTGCGGTCAGGTATTCGAGAACCGCCGCTAGATACACCGGCGCGCCGGCCCCCACCCGCTCCGCGTAGTTGCCTTTGCGCAGCAAGCGGTGCACTCGCCCCACCGGGAACTGCAGGCCAGCGCGGGACGATCGAGACTTGGCCTTGGCGCGAGCTTTGCCTCCCTGCTTTCCGCGTCCTGACATTACGGCTAAAAACGCAGCTACAGCTTCTTTTTCAAGGAGAAGGATGTGGAAAGGATAACCAATTTGATGTAATTTATAAGAGCTACCGGGAGGGGTGATGGGAAGTAGTTTGATTGGCTAAAAGCGGAGCCCGATCAAACAGCCAATAGGAAAGCAGAAAGCAGACTCTTCGTTTGCATCCTGCACTGCGAGGAAGTGACGGATGTCCTAAGTACCTACCAATCGCTGGGAGCCACATTAAAGGCCCTTATTTGCATGCCAGTATTTTTAAAGAGAGAAGGCTTTCAAACAAAACGCTATTTTGTTTTGTTTTTTACTGAGTGGCAATTTTTTTCCAGTTTAGAGTGGTAGGTTTTTTCCAGCTTAGAGCAGGGGGAATTCCCAAGGAAGACCCAAAAGGACTGCAGAGGGCCTCAAGCAGATGCAGAGTTATTCCCACTCAAGGGTACGCGATTCTGAAGCCAATTATCCCCTTGAGCCCTAAATTACCCTCCAAGTCCCGCCCTTCTGTCTCGCCACAGCCAAACTACCCTAAAGAATATTCTACTAAGGGCGCCTCCTTTCTCTCTCAATTCAGTCGCCGCCTGCTGTCTGGCTTCGCCCAACCCCCACCCGCCTCCGCTGCTCGGAATCCTGTGTGACCAACAGCTAAAATAGATGTCATCCTCCTCTTGACCTCCAGGAGGCGTCCGATATCGCCTTGAAACGTGCTCTCTTGGCTTTCAAAATGTCGTCCTCTGACTCTTCTTATCCTGCCTATTCCTCTGCCCATCCCGAAATCCATCTGGGCTCTGCCTCCCTACCTGCCCCACCTCCATTCTTCACTCTTCCTGAAGAATCTTACCCATGCTTTCAACTAATATCCAAATTTGTTTCAGAAGCTCAGGCCCTTAAACCTAACTGCTTACTGGATACTTCAACCCTTTTTTCCCAATAACTCGACCTATCCAAACGCAAACTCATCCAAACAACTCACCCCACCCACCTCTCTTTGCCCTCTTTCCCTGAATTGCACCGACTGTTTTCCAGGTACTTACACCAGAGTCTACTCTTCCCTGCATCTCAACACCACGTCCAGTCAGTTACTTCCTTAACATCTCGTCAGCTTCTTTTCTTGTCGGTCTCATTATTGCCTCAGACTTCAGCAACAGTGCCTTCAGACTCGTGTGTATAATCCTCCACCTGCCTTCCACTGAAATCTTTCCTGAAAGTTCTGTTTCTTCCTCCTCAGCTTCCCGTCCCTGGGAGTTCTACATCCCCTACACCATTTTCACCCTTTCCTGAGTAGCCCATAGGGACAGGAGGTGGAATACTATAGAGAAAAGAATAGATTTAAATTGTCTTCCTTGAACCCTTTTCTGATCTCACTTTTATCCTCACCTTTATTCAACCAACATTCATCTACTACATGCTACCTATCAGGCAATGGGTATACAGATAACTTAGACTAGTACAAAGAACTGTAATGAGATGCCTCTAGAAAATGGAGGAAATCTAAACTCTGGAAGTTAAATTTGTTAATATCTGTAGAGACTACCCCTGGCAAGAATGCTGGTATAGATTTGTGAAACACCCAAGTCCAATCAAAGGTGATGGGAGTGTTTCCTCAATAGTAGAATGTAACTGAAGATAATTCTAACCCAATCGGTTATATCATTTCAAAAGACACATGTGTTAATAGAAAGATGTGGTTCACATAGAGTCTAAACAGGGAGCAAGTACAGTAGGAATGTGTTGTGTTTCTCCAACACTAAGAGTATATGTCTGCTAGACACAAAGGTTTGGGCTATTATAGAAGGGTCCTTAGTTGTGAAATCATCAGCCTTTTTCTCACAGCCTGGGTGAAATATTTCTGAAGACTCTCCAACTTAGGTCAGATTCGGTGCTCAATTAACAACTTTCCAATTATTCTATTTCAAGATAAAAATATGAGACTGAGAAGGGGAGAGCCAGTTACAGGAAGATATATCTATGACTAGAAGTTAATGAATTTGCATTCTGGACTATTCATAAATTTCTTGTGTATTTTGTTAGCATGAGTCTCCTCGAGAAGCCAGTCAACTCTGGAATTTCTGATAGTGTCAACTTTTCAGACCTACAGGGCTGAGAACAAAACCCACGTAGCGGGGCCCCACCATAACTCTGGTACCCTTCCAGGCCCTACTTGAGGGGTCAGCTGACCTCCCCCTCTCTGACTTCTGATCTCTTTTTTACTTCTGTCACAGTGACCCTGTGCTATTAGGAAGGGTGAAGGGGAAAGAGATTATATTGAACCCTTATTATGATATGCCCTATGCTAGGGGCTACCTGTGAAGTGGATATAATTGTTTGCTTCACAGATAAGGAAACTGAGGCTCAGAGGAGTTAAAGCACTTGCCAAAGGTCATACAACCACTTAGTAAGACATGATTAGAACACAGGTCTGCCTGACTCAAAGACTGTGCTCTTCACCACTTCATTCACACTACTTCACTAACTAGATGTTGGGCTTCATGAAGTCACTTACCTCACCCAGCCTTGCTTTCTTCCTCTATTAAAAAGAAAGAGAGAGAATTAGACTTAATACTTTAGATTCCATCCAGCTTTCTTCCTCTATTAAAAAGACAAAGAGAGAGAGAGAAAGAGAGTGGAGGGGAAGAGAGAGAATTAGACTTAATACTTCAGATTCCATCCAGCTGTAAAACCTTATTAGATAAGTCTAGATAGGCCAGTATCCTACAAATTATACCAGGCTCAATTACTATCTATTGCTCCCCAGAGCTCCTTTCCCAACATTCTTACCAGAGCTATTAAAAAATAAAATAGAGCAGGTCATTTGTAAAAGTAGTACACCATCACAGACAAACAGGCTCAATCTTATTTCCTTTTATACCTCTAGGATTTTTAAGCAAAGGCAACTGAGTTCCCTCCCAGGCAATCTAGTTAATCAAACATTTATTTTGCATTCCAGCTCCATTCCACCATTCCATCCATAATCCTCTTTCTCCCCCTTTCCCTCCCCCTCTCCCACCACCACCCCCAGCCTCCTCCACACTGAGCTGCACACCATTCATGAGATGAGCTAGGCCTTTCCACAGCTCCCTGCCATTGCACATACAGTTGCCTCTGGGTGGAATGCTTCATCTTCCTCTTGACCTGGCAAAATCCTCCTCATCCTTCCAGTTTCAGCCTAGATATCACCTCCTCCCCCCACACACACAGCCTCAGTGTACCCACATCTCTTTGTTCACATCCTGGTGACAGCACTTACCACTCTGTACTGTGCTTTGACCTTGGTCTCACTTCCTTTCTGTGACCACCTCAACGAAGAGACCATGTCGTCTTCATTTTTGAATCAAGAGTCCTTAATTTCTTCTACCTGGCTCTTAATAGAGTAATTAAATGTTTTTGGCATGAATAAATGAGATAATACTCTTAAAGAATTAGTGTCTTCTTTTTTTTTTTTTTTGTGAGGAAGATCAGCCCTGAGCCAACATCCGTGCTAATCCTCCTCTTTTTGCTGAGGAAGACTGGCTCTGAGCTAACATCTATTGCCAATCCTCCTCCTTTTTTTTTGCCCCCAAAAGCCCCAGTAGATAGTTGTATGTCATAGTTGCACATCCTTCTAGTTGCTGTATGTGGGACACGGCCTCAGCATGGCTGGAGAAGCGGTGCGTCGGTGCGTGCCCGGGATCCGAACCCAGGCCGCCAGTAGCAGAGCACGCGCACTTAACCACTAAGCCATGGGGCCAGCCCCTAGTGTCTTCTTTTTTTAAATATTTTTCTTTAGTCAACAACCACTCTCCAAACACCAACCATAAACAGTAGACTGTGGTAGCCAGAGTGATGGGAGATATAATAGAAGCTCATCAATTCAATAAAAACAATATACCCTACCATAATAGAGTTGTTAGACTAAGTGAGAATAAATGTGAAGAACCTAGTACAGAGCCTGGAATCTCCGAGTCCCCAGTGCTGGTTAGAAGGCAGGATAGCTTAATGGTTCAAGAGCCCAAATTCTGCAGTCTGACTCTGGGTTGGTTTACCAGATCTGTGACCATGGGCAAACTACCAAACCTCTAAGGGTCTCTGCTTCCTTATTGGTAAAGTGAGAGTAATAATAGTAACTACTTCATGGGATTATTGTAAGAATTAAAAGAGTTCATAAATGTAAAACATTTAGAATAGTACCTGGCATCAACAAAGCAGGGACATCCCAAAAATCCTTTGAATGAATTTGCCATTTCAGAAATAAACATTGTGTTTATCCTCTGACCTAGCAATTCCACTCCTGGACATACACCAAACAGAAACGAATGTTTACATCCAACAAAAGCATATACAGGAATGTAGTATAGTCATATACTACAATACTACACAACAATGAAAATGAACAAGTTACCACCACACATATGGATGAATCTCACATACAATGTTGAGCAAAACAAGACAAACACAAATTAATTCATACTATGTGATTCTATTTATATGAAGTTCCAAACCAGGGAAAACTAATCTATGGTGATAGATGTTAGAATAATGGTTATGGCAAGGTGGTATTGACTTTCCTAGGAGCCTTCCAAGGTGCTGGAAATTTTCTGTATCCTGATATGGGTATATTCATCTGTAAAACTAAGCTGTACACAAGAATTGTACGTTTCTTATGTGTAAATTATACATCAATAAGCACAAATTAATTTTTTTAAATGAACAAATATCGAAGTAATCATCATGGGGGAAAAATTGAGTACTTTCTTGGGCATCCCAATCTTCATGGTACAGATTAGTGTTTATTGTTTTTGTTTTGTTTTGTTTAATTACACATGAGGTGGCCACCATAATCTCTTGGTGCTTAAAGCCTCTAAAATTCTTATTCTGGCCATGAAAAACCTTCACTAAATAATATATATTATTATGACAATATTATTATTAGAAACAAAGACACTAAGTTTGCCCTATGGAACTTGCAACCTGCAAAGCTTTCATTTATTTTTGCAACAGGAATAAAAACGATGTTGGCCTTGTCTAGTCATACACTCATCCATCCAATACATTTTATTGAACACCCAAGTATGCCAACACTGAGCTTAGCATAACACATCTAGAATGTAGTGAATACATTACCTCTGCTGAGATCTCTCTTTCCACATGGTTAGTTCCCTCTAGTCATTCAAATCTCGGTTTAAATGTCCCCTCCATAGCAAGGCCTTCTCTGACCACAGCATCCCCCCATTCCCCACCACTATCACTGGATTAGCAAGTTGCAAGGCCCTGACCAAAAACAAGTCTTATAGATTCCACCCCTCTAACAGTGTTCTAATTGATTTACTTCTCTCTAGCCTATCTCCGGTTATCTTTCACCAGACTACTGCCAAAGGCTTTTCCACTCTTCTCCCTGCTTCCAGTCTTCCTGTTCCTCTAATACATTCTGCACACACTAGCCAGAGTGATCTTCTAATAGAAAATCTGATTCTTTTCTCACCATATACTCTCTCCCCAGGTGATTTCACCCCCCTCACCCACTTCCCCACCCACCCACCCCTGATGATCTCATTTCATCTTCAATAACTCCTGCTTCAAATACACTTCTCAGATGCTAAAATTAGTAGACAAAAGCTTAATGAGAAACAGGATATTACATAGACTCACAGTATCTCCCATGATTACAAATGGACAAAGAATAATTTTACAATGTAGAACTAACTTTCACCTCAAAAAATAAAAATAAAAGCAACTAATTTTCACCCGAAAAAAAAATAAAATGGAGAAACCTGAGAGATACCACCTTAATCAGGGGATCAGAATTATCACTACCAATAGGACAAATCAAGTTATCTGCCCCCTGGTATGGTTCACTGAGAAGGACGCAACATCACTTCTGCAGTATTCCTGCCACAAATCCATGTCCTAAATCCAAATCATAGAAAACATTAGACAAACCCAAATTAAGAGACATTCTACAAAATAAACGGTCTCTACTCCTCAAAAATGTCCAAGTCATGAAAGACTAAGGAACTATTCCAGATTAATGGAGACCAATGAGACATCACAACTGAATGTAACATGTGATCCTAGATTGGATCCAGGACCAGAAAAAATTTTTTCGGCGGCTGGTCCAGTGGCATAGTGGTCAAGTTCACATGCTCTGCTTCGGCAGCCCGGGGTTCGCAGGTTTGAATCCCAGGCAGGGACCAACGCACCACTCATCAAGCCACACTGTGGCGGCATCCCACATACGAAATGGAGGAAGACAGGAACACATGTTAGCTCAGAGGCAGTCTTCCTCAGCAAAAAGAGAAAGATTGGCGATGGATGTTAGCTCAGGGCCAATCTTCCTCAAAAAAAAAAAAATTTTTTTCATTTTGTATAAAGAACATTAGTGGGACAATTGGCAAATTTTTGAGTAAGATCTGTAGGTTAGATAATAGTACTGTATCAATGTTAACTTCCAGAGTTTGACAATTATGTTGTGGTTATGTGAGAAAATGTCTTTTTTTTTTTTACTAAATACAATTAGAATTCTCCAAAGAAAGAGACTAATAGGATATATACAGATAGAGAGATTTATTATAAGGAATTGGCTCACATGATTATAGAGGATGACAAGTCCCAAAGTCTGCAGAGCTGATGGTGTAGTTCCAGTCCGAGTCCAAAGGCCTGAGAACCACAAGAACCAAGGCTGTAGTTCCAGTCCAAAGGCCGGCAGGCTGGAGACCCAGCAAGAGCCAATGTTTCAGTTCCAGTATGAAGGCAGGAAAAAAGCCAATGTCCCAGTTCAGTGGCAATCAGGCAGAAAAGAACTCTCTTTCTCAGGGAGGGTCAGCCTTTTTGTTCTGTTCAGGCCTTCAACTAATTGGATGAGGCCACCCACATTAAGGAGAGCAATCTGCTTTACTCAGTCTACCAATTTAAATGTTCATTTCATCCAAAAACACACTCACAGAAACACCCAGAATATTTGACCAAATATCTGGGCACCCTGTGGCTCAGGCAAGTGGACATATAAAATTAACCATCACAGGTAGTTAGACATAAATGGGCTTTATCTCTGAAACTTACTCTCAAAAGCTTCAGAAAAAAAGTATATATGTGTAGATAGATACACAGAGAGAAATAAAGCAAACATGGTAAAATGTTCACATTTGGGTAATCTAGGTACCAGGGTGAAGGATACACAGGAATTACTTGTACTATTTTTGTAATTTCTGTAACTCTGAAAGTACTTCAGAAGAATAAGTTAAAAATAAAATATATACACAGAACCATATATCCAACTTGATATCTTTTCTTGGATATCATAAAGACTCAAGTCCAAAACTGAATTCAGCACCTAATCTTCCCCCAGCCCACCTCCCCACCCTCTCAAACCTGGGCTTCTTCCAGTATTCCATATGTCAGGGAACAAATGCCATCCATCCAAAGGCAGAAATCTGATAGTCATCCTTCACACGTCCTCTCCCATAACTGACCCACTACCATATCCTGTGGATTTTACCCTCCTGATATACATCCTGTAGCCACAATTTTTTCCATCTCCACCTCCACCACCACCACCACCTTGGTCCAAGTCATCCTTATCTCTCACCTAGACTGCTACAATAATCTCCCAACTGGTCTCCCTGTTGGCACTCTTCACTCCCCTACAGTTCTCCACGCTGCAGCCAGGGATCTTTGCACAATACAGATTTAAGGAGAGCTAAATGCAATGCATGATCCTTGACTGGCTTTCTAAAAACGAAAAGTTGTAAAGAACACTAATGAGACAACTGGGGAAATTTGAACATCAATTGCATATTAGATAATAGTATTGTATGAATGTTAAATGTCTTGGGTGTGGTAATGGTATTGTGGTTAGGTAGGAAAATGTCCTTGTTCTTAGGAGATATATGCTAAGGTATATAGTGGTGAAGTGTAAAGATTTTTGCAACTAGCTTTCAAATGCTTCAGCAAAAATAACAATTATTTTATTACTATTATACAAACACATATTCAAAGAGAGATACAAAGCAAATCTGGCAAAATGTTGTCAACGAATATAGGTGAAGGGTAAATAGTGTGCTCATTGTACTAATCTTGCAACTTTTCTGAAAGTTTTAAATTTTTTAAAATGGCTAGGGTAAATATTACGTAATTAGGTTAAATTTCTTGAGTATGACAAGGGTATTGTAGTTATGTAGAAGAATATCCTAGTTCTTAGGAGATACATGTTGGAGTACTTAGGGGTGAAATGTCACACTATCTGCACTTTATTTTCAAATGGTTTAGCCAAAAAAAGTATATAAAATATTTAAAGTATATCAGTATATATAAAGTACTTAAATATGTCAGTATATAAGTATGTAATATATATAAATGTAAAAAATAGTGAAAGGTAGAGGATATTGCTTTGTACTATTCAACTTTTCTGCAGGTTTGAAATTTTTCAAAATTAGAAGCTGAGGAAAATACTTAGGCATATATAGAGAAATATAAAATATTAAGGATACAAAATAAAATATAGATTGAATTGAAAATTTATATATCATCTTGGAAAAATCCCATCCTGTTACATCCCTGCTTAAAACCTTCACTAGCTTCCCACTGCTCCTAGGATAAAGACAAAACCACCCAACAAGGCCTACAAGGCCCAGCGGGATCTGGTACCTGCCTCTTCTCCCGGAAGGCCCACCCATTCACTCCGCTTCCCATCACCATCATGTCTGCACTGTCGCCTCCAATCATACCTAACTACACCCGAAGAAACCACTCCCCCAAAGTTCTCTCTCCTCCTGGCCTTGGCACTTGCGGCTACTACAGCCTATCAGGGACTGAGAAAGAGGTTTTTGTGTTCCCCTAAATCTCCTCTCGGAAGTTTTCTGTGCTCTCCCAAGTCTGAGTGGCATGCCTCCTTAGCATCCTGTTCTTAGTCCCATCATAGCACCTAGCACACGATATTGCAGTTGTCCGCTCACTTGTCCATCTTCCCCAGTGTTCTGTAAACTCCTTTGAGGACAGGGCCTGTCTTTATTCCCCAGCCTCCAGGACTAGTCTGGCGCACAATAATTATGTAGTCAATAAATGGAATGGATTTCCATTTTCTTGTATGTAAAATAAAGGAGTTAGGCTACATGATCTACAAGATCTATTGGCAATAAAATGGATCGAAGAATCCCAATCCCAATTGCGCAGGAATTCCCATTTTCTTTGCGATTTCTCAGGTTCAGCACGTCCGACGACCTCACGAGTCGAGACAACCAGAGACTACAGTTCCCGTGAGCCTTCGGGACATCACTTAGCGCCTGCCCATTCGCTCGCGCAGCTAGGACTCTATTTCCCAGCGTGCCTCAGGACTCAAGGACCGCATTTCCCAGAACGTCAGGAGTTCCGTCCGTGAGCGGGAACTGCGGTAGCCAAGGCTGAGCGGAAGGTAGAAAGGGCCCAGCCCGGGGTTCAGAGGGGACACAGGGACACTGGCTCAACCAAAAGCCTGGAGTTTCACATACCCTCCTTTTGCAACCTCCAGCCCATTCCCTGCAAATCCCTTTAGTAGCGAACATGCCTCGCGCGGTGGCCGTCTCCAATCCCCCCTCGGCTGCCCGCGGCTGGAGGCCAGATTCCCCCCATGTCACACAGAGGAAAGGGGCGGTGTCTCGGGGCTCGCCGTCTGGCGTCCAGGCGGGCTCCCTGGAGGAGCAGAGTATGGACGTTGGCTGGGAGTAAGGGGGTGGGGAGGGTGGGGAGAGACTGCGTCTCACCAGGCGCGAGGCCCTGAACCTCACTGCTCTGGTCCTTGTCTCTGCTGTAGCCGATGCTGAGTGGGCAGCTGGTCGGGCGCCTGTTCTCCATGGCCGGCCGCGTCTGTCTGTCCCGGGGCCGCGCGGGATTGGCGACTGTCGGTCCCGTCGAGGCCGCCATTCGCACGAAGTTGGAGCAGGCCCTGAACCCCGAGGTGCTGGAGCTACGCAACGAGAGCGGTGGCCACGCTGTCCCACCAGGCAGTGAGACGCATTTCCGCGTGGCCGTAGTGAGCTCTCGCTTCGAGGGACTGAGTCCCCTGCAAAGGCATCGGCTGGTCCACGCTGCGCTATCCGAGGAGCTGGCTGGGCCGGTCCATGCGCTCGCCATACAGGCGCGGACCCCCGCCCAGTGGAGGGAGAACCCTGAACTGGACACGAGCCCCCCCTGCCTGGGTGGGAGCAAGAAAACTCGAGGAACTCCCTGAAGCCCCAAAGAGAGGGAGGACTAGGATCCGAATGGGTTGGGTGAGAATAAACTACTGGGGTCTGCTTCCCCTCAATACAGTCGTATTTGTAAGGGGTGAGGACCCCTGGGCCATTCTACTAGCGCATCCATATTCTCTGGAGATAGTAACCCATTTTAGATCAAAGCTAACCCAAGGAAAGAATAGAATTACTGACTACTGCTCTTGCCCTGAACTATTCAGGAAAAGCTGCCCAGTTTCATGTTAAATTGTGACTAAGGAATCACCAGACCTGATGACTTGGAAATAATCCTGTACATTAAAAGATAAATTATCATATGAGGTGGATTGCCGTGTTATTAATAGCCTGTTGAATTAGTGCTACGGATGTTCTTGGGCGAAGAAGAAAGGTACCTGTAACCTAGGGTGGTCAGGAAGGGCTTCATGGGGGAAGTAACCTAGTTGGATCTTTAAAGGAAAGCACAGAATTAAAGCAGAAAGGAGAGGAAAGGTGTTGCAGGCAGGGGAAGAGCCCAAGCAGAGGCATAGAAGTTGAACTGGGCAGTGAGTTATTGGACAAGACAGGAGTTATAGACACATTTGAATTTCATACTAGAGGAGCGTTCGGCTTTCTAACAGCCTGTCCATTTCCAAAAGAATTTGCATTTGTTTGTAAGAAAAATCTTTCACTAAAGCAGTGAAAAGATGATGACCTAGGAAATAAGTATAGAAGATGGAGAAAACTTTGTGTAGCCCTTTTCCTTATGAGCCTTCCAAATGTTAAGTCATATTTCTGAGGGAGCTCAAGTAATGTCTAGATAAGCAACTTTCTGAAGATCTCAATGTGCTATTCAACTTTTCTCCAATGAACATGAGAGTGCTAATATCTCTCCAACTTAGATACTAAAGAAGAAGCGTGATTAACATATATCTTGACCATTTCTGGCTAAAGAGATTAGACTGCATCTGGTTGGGCAGTAGGGAGTCATTGAAGCGTTTGGAGGAAAGGCATGCCAAAGAGCATTTTGGGGCAGATTGATCTGACAATGATGTGTAAGTAGGTTGGCATAGGAGACTGGAGGCACAGAGATCAACCAAGAGTGAAGGTGAAACCCTGACTTAGGTGTCAGCTGTGGAAATGGAAAGGAAGAAGTTGATTTGAGAGCTAACATAAAATAGTCAGAAAAAGGCTTGATTAGAACAGAAATAGACCAGAGAGTGGGGAGTCAAGTGTAACCCGCAGGCAGTGGTTTTCAGATTCCTCCCAGATAAGAATTCCCAAGGGAGCTTGTTTAAAATGTGGATTCTAGGTCCACTCTCTTCAAAAAATAGGGTTCTGATTCCCCAAGTCAAGAATGGAATCTAGAATCTATATTTTTAAAAGGCACACGAGAGGATTTGGAGGAAAGTTCTGTTCTCAAGAAACTACTCCTCTTTTTCATTTTTGGGGTTTTTAAATTTTTTTTAATTTATTTTTATAAATTTTGATTGTGGTAAGAACACTTAATGTGAGATCTATCCTCTTAAATGTTTAAGTGTACCATACATTATCATTGACTATAAGTACACTGTTGGACAACAAATCTCTAGAGCTTTTTCATCTTGCTTAACTGAAGCTTTATGCCTGTTGATTAGTAACTCCCCATTTTCTACCCCCAGCCCCTGGCAACCACCATTCCACTCTTTGAGTCTATGAATTTGACTGTTTTAGATACCTCACAAGTGGAATCATGTAGTAGTTGTCTTTCTGTGACTGGCTTATTTCACTTAGCATAATGTCCTCATGGTTTCATCCATGTTGTCACTTATTGCCTAATTTCCTTTTTTAAGGCTAAATAGTATTCCACTGTATGTATATACATTGTCTTTATCCATTCATCTGTGGATGGACATTTAGGTTGCTTCCACATCTTACCTACTGTGTATAGTGCTGCATTGAACATGCTAGTGCTAATATCTCTCCAAGATCCTGATTTCAATTCTTTTGGATAAATACCCAGAAGCAGGATTGCTGGATCATATGGTAGTTCTATTTTTACTTTTTTGAAAAACCTCCATATTCTTTTCCAGAGCAGCTGTACCATTTTTCATTCCCACCAACAATGTGCATGCGTTCCTATTTCTTCACGTCCTTGCCAACACTTTTCGTCTTTTGTTTTTTTGGTACTAGCCATCCTGACAGGTGTGAACTGATATATCTCATTGTGGTTTTGATTTGTATTTTCCTGATGATTAGTGACATTGAGCATTTTTTCATATACCTGTTGGCTATTTGTATGTCTTCTTTGGGGAAATAGCTTTTCAAGTCCTTGGCCTATTTTTTAATCAGGTTGTTAGTTTTTTTGCTATTGAGTTGTAGGACATTGCCCCCAGGTTGTCAAATCTGGGAGACTGAGAGCGCCCTCCATCTGTAGAAGTGGATAGGGCAGGGTTGAGAGGCCAGTTTAGGAAGTAAATGTGATGCATCCTATTATTCTGGCCTTCAGTTTGGAGAGAGAGTTGTTTTTCCATCTCACCATCTTCCCCTCCCAGGACTATAAGGAGGCAGAACAGAGTTGGATGTAGGTACAGAGGCAAATAAGCAGACATAGCCGTTTCGGATTTTAAGGATTTGTTTCCTTTTTATTTTTCATCAATATTTTTCATTTCATTTTTCACATCAATGGAGTTGGGTTTAGGGTTCCCCAGGAGGGCAAGGGAGATGGATGGGTCCCTCCAGGGGGTGCAGGGAGAGGGCTGCGTCCAGCAAGTGAAAGGTGAGGAAAGGGCACACACTCACACACTGGGCACTGGAGGAGAAGGCAGTCCTTTGAGCACAGACACCAAAGAGTTAAACAGTCACCACCCGGTTCAGTGTTACAAAATGGGGGGAGTGACCATAGGGTGGGGCACCAGACGCAGCATGAGGAGAGTGAATTTGGATTTTCTTTTTTTGTTCTTGTTTTCACTTTTTTTTTTAACATTTTACAAACAGCTAAAAACTACAACACATCACAGCTACGATGGGAGGAGAGTGGGCACCGAAGAAAGCAGCCACACGGAGTATGGTAGGGCAGGGGCAGCTTAACCTTGAGGAGCCACTGTGTGGAAAGGGTGAGATGGGGAAACTGAGGCTTCTGCTCCCTGCATTAGGGGTCCCTGGCTTACTGCCCAACCTCTTCCCACTTTAAAGGAATTGCCAGGAGGGCCCCTGCTTCTTGCCCCTGCCCCAGCTCCTTGTGCTTTTTGATCTGCTGGTTTGACCATATGCCTGGTTTCTTTCCCTCTCCTGCTCCCCTGCCTGTGAGGGGACAGGTTGGGGTGGGAGGGCAGTTGTGCTCTTCCTGTCTGTGCTATAGTGGGTGGAGCCTCTCACTCCAGATGAGGCCTGTGCTTCTCAAGAGGGGAGAAGGTGGACCTTATCAGTTGCCCTCAGAAATCCCTAGACTGTGGGACTCTTATCCCAGCCTGGCCTAGCGCTCCTCCCTCCCAAGCCCGGCACAGAAACAAGACTAGGGGAGGTACTATGGGAGGCAGGGTTGTGTGTGTGTCCACAGAAATTACCCTTGGCTTGTATTTTAGGACAGTATAGTGACACCCCTGCCCCACAGCACATACACACACATACATAAGTGTACGCACGCATTCACACACACACAGTCCTGCTGAGCTGCCTCAGAACTTAAGATATAAATAAATAAGAATCAGAAAGCTAATTTCATAAAATTTAGGCTTCTTACTTATAGCCCAAATTGAGGGGGAAGTGGAGGCCAGGGGGCTGAGGTTTATTGCTACTCCCCCAGCATCCAACAGGAGGTGTGAGAGGGCACCCAAGGCCCTTCCGACTCTAAGAAGTTCTTTTGGTCCGTGGTCTACACCAGGCCCCAGCCCCCGGCATAACCATATGCCCGTGGTTTCACCAGGGCCTAGGCAAAAGGAATGAAGGGGAAGGCAGGAAGCCCTTTCTGGAGCCCCTGGAGCCGGGAAGAACACGGGCCCCTCACTAACACTGGGGGAGAAGGGTGGAGCCAAGCCTTCTCCTGTACAAAGTCGAGGGTGGTAGGAGGTGGGGAGTGGAGCTGCATCCCAAAACAGGGATGAAGGAGCCTTCTCTGT